GGAAGCATCCCCATTCCTGCAGGCAGGGATGGCAGGGGAGCCCCATCCCGCAGGAGATGCTGTACCTGGCTGGGTCTCTCCGAGATGAACCGAGCCGGCGAGGAAAGGCTTTATGTGCCGGAGCCGCTTCACACCCACCCCTGATTTCCACAGAGCCTCACTCAACCATCTTAATTGCTTTATGCCTTAGTTTCCCCTTCTATAATTTAGGGATAAGGCAACTTCCCTGCTTCCAGAGGGCTGAGAGCTTTAATTAAAGTTTGCAAAGTGCTTTGCGGTCGTTGAATGAAAGGCGCCAGCTCGGTATTGTTCCAGAAATGCCCCAAAGCTAGGAAAGCAAACGGTTTGAGACCGGGGTGGGGGTTCTGATAAATCCCGGTGCCATGAAGCAGCTGTTTCAATAGGCCAAGCGTGCCTGAAAGTCAACGGCTCGACTGCGCGGTGCCCAGCGAGGGTTCTGCTCACCGGGGGAACGCAGCGAAGGAAGGCCCCGGAGCAGGGAGCAAGCGCTGCCTGCAGTCAGTGCCGACACCCCTGCCTGCACAGCACCCCTCATCCCTGCCTGCAGCACCCCGCACCCCTGCCTGCAGCATCCTGCACTGCTGCCTGCAATATCCCGCATCCCACAGCATCCTGCATCCTGCAGCATCCCGTGTCCCTGCCTGCCACATCCCACACCCCTGCCTGCAATATCCCACATCCCTGCCTGTGCCATCCCACACCCCTGCCTGCACAGCACCCCTCATCCCTGCCTGCAGCACCCCGCACCCCTGCCTGCAGCATCCTGCACTGCTGCCTGCAATATCCCGCATCCCACAGCATCCTGCATCCTGCAGCATCCCGTGTCCCTGCCTGCCACATCCCACACCCCTGCCTGCAATATCCCACATCCCTGCCTGTGCCATCCCACACCCCTGCCTGCACAGCACCCCTCATCCCTGCCTGCAGCACCCCGCACCCCTGCCTGCAGCATCCTGCACTGCTGCCTGCAATATCCCGCATCCCACAGCATCCTGCATCCTGCAGCATCCCGTGTCCCTGCCTGCCACATCCCACACCCCTGCCTGCAATATCCCACATCCCTGCCTGTGCCATCCCACACCCCTGCCTGCACAGCACCCCTCATCCCTGCCTGCAGCACCCCGCACCCCTGCCTGCAGCATCCTGCACTGCTGCCTGCAATATCCCGCATCCCACAGCATCCTGCATCCTGCAGCATCCCGTGTCCCTGCCTGCCACATCCCACACCCCTGCCTGCAATATCCCACATCCCTGCCTGTGCCATCCCACACCCCTGCCTGCACAGCACCCCTCATCCCTGCCTGCAGCACCCCGCACCCCTGCCTGCAGCATCCTGCACTGCTGCCTGCAATATCCCGCATCCCACAGCATCCTGCATCCTGCAGCATCCCGTGTCCCTGCCTGCCACATCCCACACCCCTGCCTGCAATATCCCACATCCCTGCCTGTGCCATCCCACACCCCTGCCTGCACAGCACCCCTCATCCCTGCCTGCAGCACCCCGCACCCCTGCCTGCAGCATCCTGCACTGCTGCCTGCAATATCCCGCATCCCACAGCATCCTGCATCCTGCAGCATCCCGTGTCCCTGCCTGCCACATCCCACACCCCTGCCTGCAATATCCCACATCCCTGCCTGTGCCATCCCACACCCCTGCCTGCACAGCACCCCTCATCCCTGCCTGCAGCACCCCGCACCCCTGCCTGCAGCATCCTGCACTGCTGCCTGCAATATCCCGCATCCCACAGCATCCTGCATCCTGCAGCATCCCGTGTCCCTGCCTGCCACATCCCACACCCCTGCCTGCAATATCCCACATCCCTGCCTGTGCCATCCCACACCCCTGCCTGCACAGCACCCCTCATCCCTGCCTAC